CTAGTTTTATCCCTTAAAAACTCCTAGATTTCTCCCCTCAGTGTTGCTAGTCTGAGTTTAGGGGGACCCTGCATCACTTTGTTCTCTGATCTAGTTACCGGCACCTCCGTTCATGTCATGCTCTCAGAATGGTTGTGTCTCATGCCACTTCACCCAAATGGACCCCAGAGAAAGCTTCATCTATAGTGAGTATCACCCATAGTTCTACCTCAAAACCTTTCCTAAGCAAACCCCTGACCTTCCTGAGCTTTGTATGAGTGTGTGTATGTTTGTGCATTGTGCGTGTTACCCTTGTTATTAATAAATTAGGATATTAATTGGAGAAGCCTGTCTCTGCTCCATTTCTCAAATCCCCTGGTCTACTCGGTATATACATATTGGGAGGCGATATCCGCAGGGCTGTCATAGCCAGCCCATCTCGTAATTTGAGCTACTTATAAATTCCCCTAATAACACTCTTGGCTATACAACTATTGCAAGAGTAGTGATATTCAGCGATATGTGGGAGTAACAGTAATACAAAAAACATTGCTAAGGATTCTGTATGGTGTGGTATAGGAGGAGTTTAATGAGAGGGGTGACAACATGAGTTACCACACTGGGTGATGCCAACCTTAGTGATGCCGCTGCTACCAGCCACATCTCTTACATGCCAAAATTGACCTTATATACGCTCAGTGGCTATGCTTTCAGCATTGATGTGAAGGACGCAACATGCAGAGCCATCTAGAGCTCTTCTCCCCCACAACCAGTGAAGGGACAGTCCTATCTTTAGGCAACTGTGTCAAACCATAGCAATTTTTTGGTTACTTAATATGCCAGCTTACTGCTAGGGATAAGGAGAGGAGCATGTATGATTTGGGGCTTCACAGGCCAAAGTAACCTAGCTAGCTTTGACTATTGTGCACCTTGAGTTGGGTAGAGTGTTGGGTTCCATCTACTACTCCCCTGCCAGGTAGTAAAATGATTTGGGACATGCTTACCCACCCCAGGGACTAATGTCAAATGTGTGGCCCATCCCTAGGAGACATTGCCAGTAACATAGACCATTCCACTTCCACCTTGTACCTCCAGTACCCAAGTACTGGGTAGCCAAGTTCCCTGAATAAGGCTTGAAAGGATAGTGGCAAGCTCAGGTCTGACTCATATATGCAAGAAGAAGCAGGCCTGGTCCCAGCTGTTACACAGCTCCTAGTGAGCCAACCCTCAAAGAGGAAAAGAATGCTGTATTCTTATCATTTCAAAGATGGACAAAGTGAGGTGCTGAGTGCTGACATGGTTTTCCAGGGCTTTCAGAGCACCCTGGGCCAAAGGACCAGCAAAGAGTATAGAAAGTTGTTTGCTGTTCTCAAAGAGGTTCTGTTTTTCTAGCCAAGATGGTGGGGGCTGTGAGAAGTTGAGAATCCATTTCTTGCAAGGATCAGTTGGCTGCTGGCTTGTAAAATATATATATTTTATATATATACAGATTCTGAGAAAAGAAGAGAGACCAACAATGACAAATAAAGTGTCCTACTGTGCAGAAGGAAAGCAGAGGTGTTAAAATCCATTAGCCCAAGGGTAGGCAACCTAAGGCCTGGGGGCCAGATGCGGCTCCCTGAGGGCTTTGGACCGGCCCCAGGCCGGTCCTGCCGCCGCCACCGCCCCCCGCCGCCGCCTGCCATGATGATATTGATTATTGTTGTTATTACTTGTTCTTGGGGTTTTCTTGGCAAAATCTCCACAGGGTTTTTTCCATGGCTTTTCTGGGGCTGAAAGAGTGTGCATGCATATTTTTTTAATGTTTAATTTTTTAAAAAATATTTATTTATTTATTTATTTATTTATTTAATTTTTGGTTGCCTACCCCTGCATTAGCCCATTGCCTCCTGAAAGATTCCTCCATGTCCTGGGTTGCTGAAGAGGGTCAGAAAATGATTTCTTTTGCTGTAAAAGTGTTCCCACTGTGTGGTGGATCTGGTCAGCCCCCACATATTACTTTGGTAGGCTGCACATTGCTAGAACTCCCAGGCCATGCTGGTTGGAAGATTCTGGGAGCTGCAGTCTCCCCAAAAATATATTTTATTGGTTGGGCAACACACTGGCCACCTTCACTTTTTTGGTGGCATCTGTAACCAGTTACCCTCCCTTATTTCTGCCCTCACCACCAAGACAAGGGGAGAGTGAGACGGAGCCTTTCCCTGCCAACAGTCACTTGGGGCAATTTTCACTGGGGTACAAAGGCGGAAATTGGGGCAGGGGGGAGTGTTTGGACATTGTTACTATAAAAGAAGTTTCTGTGAGGGGAGAAACTCTTTGGTTTTGACAAAAATAGTTCTCAATGAATGCATTTTAATTAAAAGGTATGTTCTGAAGCCTCTGAAAAAGCAAATCAATATTTTCCACATACAAAATTGTTGTGTCAACAAAATAACCATTTTACTAGGAAGTAAATGCATATTGCACAAACATATAGTGTCAAATGATACATGATTTCTCTGCAAACTTGTGGAGAAAGTGGCCCATTGAAATTCCTTCACATATGTGACTTTCAGAAGGCAAGGTTACTGAATTTGGTTTTCTTTGATGAAGCACTGAATGCCTGTCTGGCACCAGCACATGTGTCCAAGCATAGCCTCCAAATGTCCTAATTTGTCAGGGATAGTCCAAGTTAATCCTCTGTCATCCACTTTTTCAGCTGCTGTCCCAGTGTCCCAGCTTCTCTTTCCTCCTCCCACTTTCCCCGTTTGTCCTTGTCTTATTTCAATTGCTGGGGATAGGGTGAATAGTTGAATAGTTCCTTTAAAGTTCCTGGTTAGTTAAAGTACAAAATTAAGGCAAAAACATGGCGTGGAATCAGTGCCCCGCTGACATGGATGACACCAACTGCCACTGGAATGCACCATACTGATAAGTATAATGAATGCACCACTCTTTCCTTATCTTCAAGGAAAGAAAGAATGAAGCTGTTTCATACCCTACAAATGTCTTGATTTGTCAGGAACACACTCAATTAATCTTCTGTTGTCCCACTTTTTCAGCTGGTTTAATAATGTCCCAGTTTTGCTGTCTTCCTCCCACTTTTCCCCTTTGTCCTCAGCTCACTTCAGTTTCTGTAAACAGAGCTCAAAGTAGTTTACACACAATTAACTGAGCTGTAGAAGAGAAAAAGGGGCAGAATCTTGCCCTCCTCTGTAGACTCCAGCAAAGGCCAAGTGTTGTAGCCTTTTATCAATTTGACCACACTCAGAAGTTGCTTGGCCACATGTGTCCCAATCTTAATCCATGAAATTTTGGAGGAATGCACTCTGTCATCCTCTGCACCATAGAAAACTATGACAGCTGGCATTGATTTCAAGGCAGCTACAGAATCCCAGCCATGGCTACTGAATTGCAGCACCACAGACAGCAGCACAGTCCTCTGGTAGACTTCAACACAACTCCTCCATGCTAGGAAGCTGGCCATGATAGAGCCATAGAATCATAGAGTTGTAAAGAGCCTCATAAGCCACTGAGTCCAATGCCTTGCTCAATGCAGGATCTCCAGCAAGAGCATCCCCAGCAGATAGCTATCCAGCCTCTTTTTGAAGATGTCCAAAGAAGGAGACTCCACCACTTCTCTAGGCAATTGGTTCCATTGCTGAATCACCCTCTCTTTCAAGAAGTTCCTTCTATCTGCAATAAAAATCTGTATCTTCAAACCACTAGACCTGGCCACTACCTTCTGGGACAGCAAAGAACAGGCAATCCTCCTCCTCCTTGTGACTGCCCATAAAATATTTAAAGGAGGCAAGCATGTCACCCCTCAGTCTTCTCTTCACTAAGCTGAACATGCCTAGTTCCTTCAACCTCTCCTCATATGTTTTGGTTTTCATATCTGGTATCATCCTTGTTGCCCTTCTCTGAACCCGCTTCATCTTGTTTTTCTCTTTCTTATAACGAAGTGTCCAGAACTGAACACCATACTCCAGATGAAGCCTAACCAGCGCAGAATATAGTGGGACTATTACTTCCCTTAACTTGGAAACTATGCTTCTATTTCTTTCCAAGACAGGACATCCCAAAAGTTTGCAAAAATGGGCTAATGATACAAGATTGTGATTTTTTTCTGTTCCTTGTGCCCCCTTCCAGGTTATACAGCACAATGTTACATCTATGGTCCCCCCCCAAAAAAAAATCATTTATTTATATAGTGCCATCCATGTACATGGTGCTTTACACAACAGAACCTTTATAATTATTCCAATAATATAAAATACTAAAATACAATATTGAAATAAAGTGAACTCCCCCACACACGCACACACATATATTGCAGAATAATACAAAATAGTCAGCACAGATAATCAAAGATATAATGACATAAAGCATTAATCTGAAATTCCAAAAGTTTTAGATAACAAACCAGTTTTCAATTTGGATTTAAAAACAGTGAAGGAAGAAACAGTCCACAAATTTACAGGGGCACAGCTCTAGGAATAAGGGACAGCAAGAGAAAAAGGATGAAGCTGAGCCAAGGAGGAGGAAACCCTTTGCTGGGTGAGGAGCCCAGAATTCCCAGAGCGCAGATTTCTAACAGGCTGGAGAAAAAAGATCTATGTCATCTACTTTATCAGGAAATCCTCTAACTTGAGAAGCAGTAGAGCACAAAATTGCAAGAGTTTTTTATTATTATTCTGAGAGCCAGTCTGGTGTAGTGGTTTGAGCATTAGACTACGACTCTGGATACCAAGATTCAAATCCTCGCTCAGCCATGGAAGGCCACTGGGT